TAAAATCATGATGTATCTCGCTGCATTGTGCGAGTACGCTTCTAGTATATATATATATATATATATATATATATATATATATATATATATTAAAGGAAGAATTAAAATGTTGTTCAATGAGAACATTTCTATCTTATTTTTTTTTCTCATTATTTTGATTTATTTTTAATATACAATCAACACATTAATTATTCTCTTTCATTTTCTCACTTTTTTTAATTCCATTTTTATTATTTTATAATGAAAAATTGAATCCACAAATATATAAAGTTATATATAATTTTATTTACATCAATACATGCATATTTTTAATTACATGACAATTGAAAAAATAAATCATCAAAATCAATATATAATATATACACACACACACACACTATATTATAAAGCATTTGACAAAAACTCTTAAAAACCATTTTCTATACATGAAGCACTGTATATTGATGCATATTACTTAAAATTCAAGATTACAAGTAAATTATGTATAAGTACAACTTATTAAAGTTTCATGTTTGAATTCATGTAACTAACTGCGGATAAACATAATCAAATAGAGGATAAACATCTCATTTTAAAATATAAAAATCTAAAATATAATTAAGATAATTATTGAGTTTTAACAAAATAATTAATTATTATCTTTATAGAAAAATTATAGTATTAAACCGAAAAAAAAAATTAGTTAAAGAAATACAAAAAAATAATAATAATAGTTAGTTTGGTACTAATATCAATATTTTTTTCAAAATTTTATGCATCTTCGTATTTATGTTTTTATCGTTTTCTCAAAACCACATAAAACCATATTATAACATCGACTGAAACAAAAAAAGAAACACTAAAATCGAGATGTATTTCCCGGCATTGTGCGAGTACCCTTATAGTTTATTCTAATAACAACACCATGTTGTCATCTAAAACATAAAAGATACCAATGCACGTACCCGACTTCTTCTATTTAATATAACATCCACATCACTAACATTTAAATTGTGCAAGTAATTACGAAATAGAAAGTTTACTATATTAGTTATAAACTGAATACAAATTTCGTCTATTTTACCACCTTTATACATCATTTTCGCCAAAGGAGTTAAATAAATGCATTAATTTCAAAATTTTGTAGATCAGATATTTAAAAAAAAATATAAATATGCACACATGTATATGTTGGGAAAACTTTTAACGCTTTTGTGGGTTTATAAACCTAAACACATGCTAGTTATCAAAATGGAGAAAAACACAATTAAGAGTTGGTGTTAGTCTTTGGTAAGGGACTCGTTAAATATTTAATGGTCAAAAGAAAGAGAGTTTCATGCAACCAAACCAGCATTAGTCTCTGTTTGGTGCAGTGGCGGAACCTTATAGGGGCTGTTGAGGCTTTGGTCTCTCCGTTTTTAGACTCAAACACTAATTGAGTTTTTAAGGACATATATGATAGGCAAGTCAATTGGTACAAATCCACTTTCTTGAACGAAGTGGACTTGGAATAATCATTTGTGTCCACCATCCCGGAGGTTATTGTTTCAAATTCCCTCCCTTGCATTTTTCCCCATTCACTTTATATTAAATTATTAATATTTAATTATATGTAAATATAAGTTTTTAGGTGTCATTTACCGAATGCTTACTAGAGTAAGCGTTTATCAAGTTATTTTATTTTACTGGATGAATATGTCAAGTACTAAAAATCTTATCCGGTAAGAGCGAAGACAAGAATCGAGAGTCTTACCCGGTAAGTAAGGACGAAGACTCTTACCATGGTTAGCGCTTACCCTGATAAATTGTTGCTTACAATGCATTTTAGTGAATAAAATCTAACTTGTTAAGTAAACGATAATGTTGAATTTTAACGGTAAGTGGTTACCGGGTAAGTGTTTAGGTAAACGGCCCCTTAGAGTAAATTACACTGGTAGTTGGTAGGTTATTTTTCACACCCTTAGACTACTTATAAAAGGAACCACAAAGGAAATATACAATATGGTCCAATGTCGTTTTTTCCACGTAATAAAGTGGTAAAAACCGAATATCGTACACGGAGATTGTAGCAAAGACTTAATAAGAGTCCAATGAAAGAGATGAGTTCAGATGATGAAATTGAAGACTTCAGTTTGATTCTGAGTTAAAAATGATAAAATAACATAATATAAATGGTAGCATGAGTGTAAGACTTATGATGAAATGCAAGCACAAATTCCAGCAGACAATGCTGTAGGAATGCTACAGCATACAGTAAACCAAAACTAGTTCCACCATCTATTTTGAAGGTATTTCTCTCGGACTTCACATTTGCACTATATTATAGCTTTCAACCCATATCTCTATGTGGTATCCGGATCAGGGATAGTGACAAAATTGTATCTTCAAAGTATATGGATAAACAAATCTATTTGTTAAGAATCACTCTTTCAAGCCGATTCTCATATCATTTAAGTTGGCGTGTGTTCTAGATAGTTCATCTCTAAATCTACCACACTTTGACACTTTTAGAGGTTGACCAACCTGTCGGGAGTTAATTTGAAAGACATAAATGACAAGTTTTCTTGTCGGTAACTTTCTCAAGTTTACCTCTTATATCATTCAAGTTGACGTGCATTCAATGACTTATCTCTAAAACCATGGTAATTTTTTTTGAATCGTTTTAAATTTCAATTTAAATTTCAAAAATCTTTTAATTTTAATTATTATCACTATATGGAGTTAATAAGTTGTTCTCTAATATCACAGGGGTTCTCGTTAGAACCTTTCCCTATATACATATACATATATATATATACACACACACATAAAGAAGACTTCAAACGAGAACCTCTGTGATTTACAAAAATGCGAGAACACTTGTAAGCCAAGTATTGTATGTTAAATCACATTCTAAAGTATTTGAGATATTTTTTTATATTTTAAATGAATATTAATTTTTTTTCCAAAAAATGAGAAAGACGTGGAGGGGTAAAACTGGAAATAGGAATATAAAATAAAATGATCTGATTACATTACATAATAGGGTTGATGATTTTAGGGAGAAAGAAATCAGTCAACTTTAGAGGTGTAGACGAAGAAGAGGAAGACGATTTATAAGGGGTATGTGTTACGTATCACATCTTTATCACACACACAACATATATCAATGACTTCTATATCACATGATTATCACAGTATGTGCATCATACGATTAGAGCAAAATCAAGAAGTTGGAATCAGAAATGTAAGCTTATTTCCTTTCGTTATCACAAGATTATTACTGATATGTGTATCACATGCTTAGGGTAAAATCAAGAAATCGTTACCCTGTTTGGCTATCACAGATTTATCACAGTGTGATTATCATAAGAAAAAATCGATAAATCGTTAACCTATCACACATTTATCACAGGGATGGGATAATCAATAATACAATAGCGATTGGGTGTTGAGGATTGTTATCAAAGTTAACGAATCGATTAAGAAAAGTTAGCTGAGTATCACATGATTATCTCAGTTAACACTTTGAATCGATATGTAGAAGTTGATTAATAATCACATTGTTATCACAGATTTATCACAGTGTGATTATTGTAAGAAAAATTCGATAAATCGTTACCCTATCACATATATATATATATGTATATATATATATATGTATGTATATATATATATATATGTATATATATATATATGTATGTATATATATATATGTATGTNATATGTATATATATATATATGTATGTATATATATATATATATGTATATATATATATATGTATGTATATATATATATGTATGTATATATATATATATGTATGTATATATATATATATATGTATGTATTACAGCAGGAAAGGGATAATCATAATACAATAGCGATTGAGTGTTGAGGGATTGTAATTAAGTAATTTTTATAATTTTTATTTTATTTTAATTAATTATAATTATCCTTTTTTTCTGGATTGATTACATTCGTTTCCACTATCTTCTCTTCCCTTATGATAATTGTCTAATTGTGTAAATATAACATATCGAAAACATGATCAATCGAGTGTAACCATAACCTATCGAAACCATGATCAAATTTAGTGCGTAAGTGATGTTATAATAGTGATATCACATGATTATCACACTCATATCACACCAAATCGTTTAGTGGATTTCACCCGTAATGGTTGTGATAAATTTGTGATTGTCTTATCCTAACCTATCGAAACCATGACTAATCGTTGTGATAAATGTGTGATTGTCTAACCCTAACCTATCGAAACCATGAGTAATCGTTGTGATAAATATGTGATTGTCTAACCCTAATCGATCGAAACCATGATCAAATCGAGTGCGCTGTTATGATAGTGATATCACATGATTATCACACTCATATCACATCAAATCGGTAGTCGATTTCCTAAGTTAACTCTAGCCGAGCTGAATCTTTGTGATAATTATAATAAATCACATGATTATCACACCCATATCACACCACATCGTGTTGAAATAAGCGATAACCATAATAACCCGTTATGTTATCCAGATTATTGGGTTTAGTATGATCATGTTTTTAAAATTTTATTACTTTGAATTCCAATATTACCCATTTGCCTCTCAAACTTTTTTGAATTGTTTTAATTTCATTTTTAATTTAAAAAATCTTTTAATTTTTATTGTCATCACAATATTAGGTTAATAGGTTGTTCTCGTATTTTTGTAAATCACAAGGTTTCTCGTTTCCCATAATATTATCATCAACCACAAGTCACGAACTTAATCATGCAAACAGATTACATAGATGTAACAGAAAAAGACCACCACCACATTTTATACTCAGCAACCACTACAACAAGTACTTAAATATATACCAAAATACGGAACATCACCAAAACCTCCATATTCATCCTGTCTTTTACAACCTTACCCTTCATTGTTTGATCACGAAATCAAATTAATCAGGGGTATAATCGTAAAACAAAAAGATCACCCCATCCATCCAGCAGCAAAACAAAAGTAGTTCCCATACCTAATATATCACCCCACTCTAATGTCAAACCCATCCCCTGTGATCCCACCATCAAGAAATTCAATTCCGAAAAACAAAAATGCCCGATATAGAACAAAAAGAAACGGAACAAATCGATAAACTACGAGTTGAGCTTTTCCTGATGGATCTTCCATGGGGTTTAAAGTATCTAATCACTAACCACACATTGTCGGATAAACGGGCGATGGGGATGGGATGTATGTATGTATGTATGCATCTATCTCCAAGGCATAGCAGCCATCCCTTGTGCATTGCTGTTATTGCTCTGGCTTCCAAACCCCCCACCTGAAGACTCACTCAAGCTTCCACTTCCACCTGCTAATGCTCCAGATACAGGGTTTGCTGCACCACTTACGATTTCTGCCTCATTACTGCCTTTTGCTTTCGACTGTTTCTGACTTGCCGGAATAAAACTACCAACAATCACCTGCATGCAAACACCAAAAGAAATTCCATCACAATCCTGTATAACGTGTTTTACTCGTGTTACAAATTTATGGGCAGAATCAGCTATACTTGCTAAAGATACAAACCTGTACTGGTGATGCAGCGGTTAGAAGGCCAGCCACATTACCGCCTAATACACGACCATCTGGCCCAGATAGTGCCACACTTAACCCACCCGTTCTACTACGCTCACCACCACTCTCACATACCATAAATGAACCAGAAAGAGAAAGGATCTCAAACCGTCCCTGCATAACCAACTAAAAGGTGTTAGACAACATATTCATCAAGATAAGTTTCATTGAATTTTTCGTAAAACCTCATAGGTGACGGTTCCACCAGATGTTGCTGTCTGTTGAAGTGTTACGTTAGATATAGCTCCACTGGCCGACAGAATGCACAGAGTTCTCGCGCTATTCTGGGAGAACCACACAAGTTTTGCCAATACATCCTGTATATGCAAAAAAATTAAGAATATATGAAGAGTTCCTATTATGATTCTCCAAAAACAATGGTATTCATGTGGATTTTGAATCTAGCAAATGTGACTTTTTCTGCAGCTAAAGTTCCCAAGACCCTGTCTTTGACATTTAATATGTAAATGTCATTTGCAAAGCCCAATCAACACACTGAAGCCCAAGTCCATGTAACTCATTCATTCATTTAAAGCCCAAGCCCAAGCCCAAGCCCAGGCCTTATTAAGTGAGTTCTGATTTGACTTGGCTCCTATGTGAGACAAGTTCCCTATGCTAACAAAGTTCCAACACTTCTTTCGGCTTGTAAGCAGGGTGTTCGCGGTCCGGTTTGAGCGGTTTAACCCCTCAAACTACAAACCAAACTGCAACGGTGGTTTAGGACATTTTCCAAACTGAGCGGTTTGGCAGTAATTGACCAAACCGGACCACAAAAAGGCGGTCTGGTCTTTGGGCGGTTTGGGCCTCTAAAAAAAATATATCTATATTCGAAATGAAATTTCTTCCAATATAACATTATTAAAAAAATAGGATACCGAATTACAAAAAATGCATCTATCTCTATAACTTAAAAAACATTGAACTTAAGCAAATCCACTAACGGTGTGGCTATTTTTCAGACCGGACCGGACCCGTTAGACCACTTAAACCGTCAAAAACGGTCGGTTTTGACTTGGTTCGACCGGTTTGAGCAGTCCAACATTTTTTTTGGACACCCAACTTGCAAGATTATCTTGATTGTTCATATACATTAGCAATTAGCTAATCATAGAAACCCAAAACAGTAATTACTACTGTGGAACCTTATCAATCAAAGATTAACCCTTGATACAAGCTTAATCATTATCCTAATCAGTGTAATGATGGCTACTTAAAGGATGAATTACAGTGAAGAAACATAAAAGGATCATAGATGCACCTCTCCAGATTTCACATCAAGAATATGTGGCATGAATCCTGCTCTTGGTGAACCTGAAAATGGTTTTTTACAGAAGCAATAATCCAAATGAAATTAAAGAAAAGAAATTTTAAACCAATTGCAACTTCTAACCATAAAAGAAAACACAAAAGATGAAATGAATCACGTCAAGAAACTTGAATGTTCACTGAAAACATATACAAGCAAAAATCTGTATCAAAGAATTGGCCAAGACTAGATGACATAAATGTCCATATTATAAATATAAATAATATATATACATATATAAGAATGTACCCGAAGCAGCAGGATGCTGCTTATTTGCAGAACCGGGAGGTCTACCCCTTGGCTTCTTCCCTGAAGACGGCAACGGAGAAGAAAAGTCACCGGATTCCGGTGCCGATGGACCATGCAGAGTCGTAGACGTCATCGGCGCTGCTAGAGGCACAGGGCCATCAGGAGCGTACTTTCTTGGTCTTCCTCTCTTCCGCTTCACCACATCGCTACCACTAACGTTCATCCCTGCAGTCACGGGAAACGCATAGTTAGTATATTCTCCAGTATCACCGCCGGTGCCGTTAGGGTTGTTGTAAGCAGGCGTTGTTGAAGGCGAAGGAGACGAGGTAGGTAGAACCAGACGTGTATAGTCGGCCGTTCCATCAGCGAATCGAATGTTGTGGTTGTTCATTGTGGAAGCTTCTTCATACGACATGATTCCGGTATCCCTTGAACCCTGTAATCCAACCTCAAAAACCCTACTTTACTCACAATAACTATAAAGTTGAAGGGACCAATCTCTGCATGATCTCAGAATCAAGTTCTTGCATAATCCAAAGTTGTAATTCAAATTTGTAGCAAAATTTGGGGGTAAACAGGAAGAAAATTAAAAAGAAAAACCAACCCCACCACCGTTCATTTTAAAAAGAAAAGATTGAAGAGGGATTAAAAGCGTAAGAAATTAGAAATTGATATTTCTAGGGTTTCTTCAGGGACACCGTATTTCATTCCAATAAAAAACATAAGGATATTTCATAGATTGATCTATGTGTATTACAGTATTAGTTTGTTTGATTTTGATATATATTATGAAGTATTTTTAAAAAAAATTAAAAATTATTTTTATATATAAAGTATTATTTATTGATACATATTATTTAAAATTTAAAATTAAAAATAAATTATACTTATTAAAATTTTATGTTTGAATTCGTATAAATAACTGTGAAAAAATATAATTAAATAAAAGATAAATATCTTAATTTTAAATATAATAATTAATTATTATTTTTATAAAAAAAATTATATTATTAAAACAAATATAAATTACTTCTTTATTAAACTTAAAATAAATTCTAATAATAAAATTTGAGAGATGTAAAATAAAAAGACACGGGAGAAGGTAATTGATGATTACGGATTTAAAACATAAACATTCACGTGATAATTATGATCTTCGAGAAAAGGTTAAAAACATATTAATTGCTATTTTTACGATCATTTATTATATAAGATCATGCTCTAAATTTTATTTTATTTTGATTTTTATTTTACGTAACGTTTTTAAAGCATTTGTTTCGATACTAACGATTAAAACTATTGAAATTTAAATGATTAAGTTGTAATATTTCTAATCATTAATAAATATTATATATTTTAACTAAAAATAAATATATTTTATAAGCATAATTATTTATATAAAATAGAGCAGAGGAAATTCATTGGTGATCTATAAAATTATACAAACTTTACAAATCAATCTCAACCGTTAATATATTTACTCAATATAAAACATAACAATTTTGAAATATCTCATAAATTGGACGGACGTAAAATCTAAAGGATATAAGGGTAAAATTGTAAAATTTACAAACCCATTTATTTAGGCTACTACTCTACATCCCTAAAATTTTACCATCGCCATTGAAGAATAATATTAATTCCAATTATGTTGCCACCGTCTATTTGGGGAAGAGCAATCTTCATAGCGGATAATCGATTTCGTTTTGAATAACATGGTTGGTTTTGGAGGAAACGATGGAGGGAACATCCAAATACAAACCAAAGGGTCTTTGGTCTAGTGGTATGTGAGTCTTTGACCTCTTAGAAGGTCAGGGGTTCAAACCTCACCAAAGGTGAGTAGAGTGTGTGAGTTTATTTGTTTTATTTACCGTTATATACTCCAAAAAAAACATCCAAATACAAGGTAACCAAAAATTGAACTATGTTCATAACTGAAACATAAATTAGGAACTAAAATATGTTCATAATTAAAATATATTAATATTTGAAATATGCTCGTGACTGAAATATGTCCATATTTGAAATACATGAAAATAGTTATTAGATTAGGAATAATTTGTAACCGTTTAAAATAATTCATATTTAAATACATGAAAATAAAGATTGGCTTATGAATAATTTGTAACCATTAAAATAAAAGAACAATAAATATAAAATAAAACAAAAATAATATAATACTTCACGTGCAAAAACATAAAAGAAAGAATCCGATCGAATGATATTAGTTAACAAAGTTAACAAAATTTATTTGATCAACTAATAATTGTGCATATATATAGAGAGTTGAGTTCACGTGTGAACAACCTGTTTTCGTGAGACACGTGAGACGTTATTTTTACACTTGAAACTCCACAACAAAATGTTGTGAAGGTAAAACAACGAACGTTCACAACAAAAATACTGTGAAAGCATTTTGGTGTGAAGTTTAAAATGTAAAAAACTTATCTCAATATGATCCCAAGTCTATATGTATATGTGTATGTATATATATATATAATAACATAATTAGCAAAACTTTTTTGATTTTAAATTAGCAAAAAGTCCAAAAAAACCACAACCAACTTTCCCATTTTAAGTGGTTTTGTCTCGAAACTTTTTTTGAATGATAAAACAATTGAACTTTCTCATAATGAATGATCAAGTCTCTTATCATTTTTTAATAAATAAACTATTGCACTTAAAAAATTGGTTACTTATATCTTTTTAACCCAAAAAAAGTTATATGCAACCGACTAGCAAATGTTCGATAGTTTTTATTTTTTAAATTCGAGGGTCTTAATTATTTAAAATAAGAGGTTGCTTGTTTACCTCTTAATAGTTCCATTAAGAGGTAATTTATTAATAGTTTTAAAATCATCTGAATGATTTTGTATCTTGGGGTCTTCCTTAACCATTCAGCGCCCTAATTTCATTGTAAACAATTATCAAACATTTATATTTCATTTTGCAATATATCATGAAAGCCGCTTAATCATTCTGATCACTTAATCATTCTGCATCAAACCATTCAGCAACTACTAAACAACCCAAAGTTTAATGGGCTTTTCATTTAAAATTAGAAAATTTAATAATTTTTTATTCAAAATAATAGTTCAATGACTTAAATCCTTAATCATTTTAAAATAGGGCAAATTGCATGAAAAAGTAACATACTTTAACTTGATTCATATTTTAAGTATGTACTTTAAGGACTTCTATTTTAGTACCTAAAATGTAGTATTTATTCATTTAAATACTCGGCTAACCGGTTGAAACATTAATCGGTTATCATGTTGATGTGGCGAGTGGTGTGGTATCCAACTCAGTATTATTTGCTGACGTAGTTAGTGACATGAATTTTTTTTAATCTAAAATTAGTCTTCAACCGGTTACCCGAGTACTTAAATGTTTAAAATTTTACATCTTAAGTATCAAAATGAAAGTTTCAGAAGTATATTACTTAAAATAGAAATCAAGTTAAAGTACGTTATTTTTCATGTAATTTGTCATTTAAAATCTAACCGTAAACAATTCAAAATAAAAAAGTTTAATCTACTTTTTCCTTGAATCATAATTCATAGGTGTGGAGTTGTGAACTGTGGACCTTTGGACGTTATAAAGAATAAATATTTAATTGGGCCTTTTAGTGACATACTGTGGATCTTTTAAGGTTTACGGTCCGTTTATTTTTATTTAATTATTTATTCGCTCTATGATTAATTAATATCTGTTTTTAACTTCATTATCATTAAATAAGTTTGTATCTGATAAAACAAATATATAACTAAATTACGTTAAAAATCTAAAATTGATTAGGAACCATGAGACTGTATATATATACACCTGTAGTATATTATCATGTATATGAACGTATTATTCATCGTAAATATTGTAATGTATTCATAATGAATGTGTAATTCATGACAATTAATACGTCCATATTCATATGAAAGTATGAATAATGATGAATATTCATTCTGAAAAGAGACACATGACAGGTTGTGGATGTTCTCGACCTTCTTATCAATATGGGTTCCTAACTGAACTTTAGCAATATGGGTTCCTAATTGAACTTCCCTACATAGGCCTAATCAATTGAGAACATTATATACTATGATAGCTATGAGAACTATTATCATAAGGTAATGTCGATGTTCTAAATCTTTATGTTAAAAACTGTATCATTGTTTAAGATTTACGATTTATGTTGACCATTCCGATTAGGGTTTTTTGCCATGCATTTCCTCATTGCACTATTTCGTTATTGCACACCCAGAGATATCTAGGGGCCGTTCACCCGAACGCTTATCCGGTAAGTGTTTATAGGCAAAAGTCAACACTCTCACTTACCTTACTAGGTAAGATTCTAATACATTAGAACGAAATCGTATGCAACAATTTATCTGATAAACGCTAATAGGGTAAGAGTCATCATCCTCAATTACCAAGTAAGACTCTCGGCCTTTGTTATTGCTCTTACTAGATAAAATTGTCTTTGCCATGTTAATACAATAAGGTAAATGGACTAGGTAAACACTTACCGGGTAAGTTTTTGATGAATGACCCTTTCGTTTTACAAAGTGGTTACGAGGTTTCGTATAACTATAAGATGACTAAGGCGATGTTCTATTGCGGCTTAATGGGCTGTATAAGCCATATGGCTTATTTGCACAACCATATCTAACTGTTCGGTATGGGCTTATTCGGTCAGCCCATGGCTGAATCGCTCAGCTACAAAAGTAGAGTCATACACATTCAACCATTTATTGTTCCATTTATTCCCTTTTTACCCTTCCCCTTATTTTCGTCTTCTTCTCCCTTTATATGAAATCAACCAGTCTATTCTTGATCCAGTTCACACTTACAAGTTCCAGCTGAAAACTTTCTCCCTGTGATTCAATTTCTTCCCATGGTTTGTTCTTACAAAGGTTTTCGATTTCTCCCTATAGCTTTCAATTGCTTCCCATGGTTTCTTCTTCTAGGTTTTCGATTTCTCCCTGTGTTTTCGAAATGACAATACCGTGTGAAGATTCAACAGAAGGTAGATGAGGAGTATTAGGCAAAGGCCTGAAGGCGAACTGTTGGCTACGTTTTCTTCTCAACTTCAAGCATCACAAATGATGTCGATTATGGAAAACCCCCAATCTGGACCTCCATCACCACTCCCTTCCCCCCATATGCCCTCTTCTACTCGCACTCTTTCTGCAACTTTCGTTTGTGCATATATCATTGGATGGGGAACCTCTGTCTCTCCTCGCCCCATGGATCTACTTCAACCTGGTCTACATCTATTCTCCATCGAACTGCAAAAAGGAAATAAAAAATGTTGGTCTGTGTCTACTTGTGCATCTCCATCGCCGAGAAAACAATAACAACGAATGGAGGTTTTTGTTAGGGCTGATTCAAACAAAAAATGGAGATGTGAATAGAAGATTGAAAATACGAAGGAAAGCTTTTTGATACAGATTTAGGGTTTTGATTTTGAGTTGGGTTCTTTTTTATATTGAGTTGGCACATATCAATAGATTGGAAACAATATATAGTTATTGATAAAAGATATAGAGCGAAGGGTAAAATGGTCATTTTTGACATTCAGACTATTTATTCAGCATAACTATCGAACAACAACATATCTGTTAATATACTGACAACTATATTCATACAAGTTTTAACATAAAATGAAATGAACAACCCCTAAGCAGACATTGAGATGGGATAGAACAAAT